GAATAAGGTCACAATCAAGAACAAGTATCCATTGCCGAGGATTGATGATTTATTTGATAAGCTTCAGGGTGCCAAAGTGTTTTCGAAGATTGATTTGAGATCTGGCTACCATCAGTTGAGGATTAGGGCATCCGATGTCCCTAAGACAGCTTTCCACACTCGGTACAAGCATTATGAGTTTTTGGTGATGTCATTCAGGTTGACAAATGCCCCAACAGCTTTCATGGATTTGATGAACCGAGTGTTCAAGCCTTACCTGGATTGGTTCGTAATAGTCTTCATTGATGATATTTTGATCTATTCCCGTAGCTGGGAGGAGCATGAGCAGCATCTGAGAGTTGTTCTTCACAGTTTGAGAGATAGTCAGTTGTATGCTAAGTTTTCGAAGTGTAAGTTCTGGTTGAGTTCAGTTGTATTCTTGGGTCACTTGTTTCAGCAGAGGGTATTCAGGTGGATCTGAAGAAAATAGAGGCAGTCAAGAACTAGCCTAGACCCGCATCAGCTATAGAGATCCGGAGTTTCTTGGGTTTGGCAGGCTATTATCATCGATTTGTGGAGGATTTTCATCTATTGTAGCCCCGATGACCAGGTTGACCCAAAAGGGTGCCTAGTTCAAGTGGTTGGATGAGTGTGAGGCGATCTTTCAGAAGCTCAAGACAGCTTTGACTACGGCGCCAGTGTTGGTTTTGCCTATAGGTTCAGGGCCATATATAATTTATTGTGCCGCATCTCATATTGGACTTGGTGCGGTGTTGATGCGGGATGGCAAGGTCATTGCTTATGCTTCACGATAGTTGAAGATTCATGAGAAGAATTATCCAGTTCATGATTTGGAGTTAGCAGCCACTGTTCACACGCTGAAGATTTGGAGGCACTATTTGTATGGCATTTTATGTGAGGTGTTCACGAATCACAAGAGTCTACAGTATTTGTTCAAGCAGAAGGAACTAAATTTGAGGCAGATGAGGTGGTTGGAGCTGTTGAAAAACTATGATATCACCATCTTATATCATCCGGGGATGGCTAATGTGGTGGCCGATGCTTTGAGTAGAAAGTCAGCCAGTATGGGCAGTCTTGCGTATATTCCGATCGGTGAGAGACCGCTTGCTTTGGATGTTCAGGATTTGGCCAATCACTTCGTTCGTGTGTTAGCTTGTATAGTCACTCGTTCTTCATTATTTGAGCATATCAGAGATTGACAGTTTGATGACCCTCATTTGTATGTCCTTAGGGACATAGTGTGGCACGGTGGTTCCAAGCAGGTTACATTAGGAGATGATAGATTTTTGAGAATACAGGGTTGAGTTTGTGTGCCTAATGTGGATAGACTTCGAGAGCTGATTTTAGAGGAGGCCCATAGTTCCCGGTACTCTATTCATCGGGGCGCCGCTAAGGTGTATCAGGACTTGCGGCAACATTATTGGTGGAGGAGGATGAAGAAGTATATTGTCGCATATGTGGCTCGGTGTTTGAATTGTCAGCAGGTAAAGTACGAGCATCAAAGACCTGGTGGTTTGTTTCAGAAGATTGAGATTCCTGAGTGGAAGTGGGAGCATATCACTATGGACTTCGTTGTTGGACTCCCATGGACTTAGAGGTAGTTCGATGCAGTGTGGGTCATTGTTGATAGGCTGACCAAGTCAGCGCATTTCATTCTTGTGGCGGTTTCCCACTCTTCTGAGCGGTTGGCAGAGATCTATATCCGCGCGATTGTTAGTCTTCATGGTGTGCCCGTGTCTATCATTTCTAACCGAGATACGCATTTTACCTCACATTTCTGGAGGGCAGTTCAGCGTGAGTTGGGCACACGGGCCGAGTTGAGCACAACATTTCATCCTCAGACGGACGGGCAGTCCGAGCGTACTATTCAGATTTTGAGGATATGCTCTAAGCTTGTGTTATTGACTTTGGAGGCTTTGGGATCAGTTTTTCCCTTTAGCGGAGTTTGCCTATAACAACAACTACCAGCTGAGCATTTAGATGGCTCCTTATAAGGCTTTATATGGTAGGCGATGTCGATTGCCGATTGGGTGGTTTGAGCCGGGAGAGGCTCAGTTTTTGGGTACGGATCTAGAACATGATGCCTTGGACAAGGTCAAGATCATTCAGGATAGGCTTCGTACAGCCCAGTCCAGGCAGAAGAGTTATGCCGACCGTAAGGTTCATGATGTGGCATTCATGGTCGGTGAGCGGGTGTTTCTTCGGGTCGCCTATAAAGGGCGTGATGAGATTTGGGAAGAGGTGCAAGCTTAGCCCTAGATTCATTGGCCCGTTTAAGATTCTTAATCGAGTAGGAGAGGTGGCATACAGACTTGCGTTGCCGCCGAGTTTATTAGCCGTGCATCTAGTGTTTCATGTGTCCATGCTTCTGAAGTATCACGACGATCCATCCCACATGTTAGACTTTAGCACTGTCCAGTTGGACAAGGACTTGTCCTATGAGGAGGAGACGGTAGCTATTCTAGACTGGCAGGTTCGTCAGTTGAGATCGAAGAGTTTCCCTTCTGTTCGTGTTCAGTGGAGAGGTCAGCTTGCCGAGGCAGCTACTTGGGAGTCCGAGTTCGATATGAGGAGCCGATATCCCCATATTTTCTCCGACTCAGGTACTTTTCTCATGTCCGTTCGAGGGCGAACAATTGTTTTAGAGGTGGAGAATGTGATGATCCAAAAGGTCATCACTCATTTTGAAAGTAAATTCTATGTTTTGAGGCCTTAAAAACCTCCTTTTGTCTCATTTCGATTTGCGTGCACAGTCCGGGCGCATTTCCGAAAAGCTTTTATGTGAAAACTAAGTAAAATAAGGAAATTGGCTTTTAAAATTGATTAAAGTTGACTTTGGTCAACACTTTTGGTAAACGGACCTATACCCATGATCCGACGGTCTTGTAGGGTCCTTAGTAAAATATGGGACTTGGGCGTATGCCCGGAATCGAATTCCGAAGTCCTAAGCCCGAGAAATGAATTTTTGAAAGAAATTATTTCATTGAAATTATAAGAGTTTTTGGAAAAGAAAAGATGTTTGAAATTGATGGTATCAGACCCGTATTTTGGTTTCGGAGCCCGGTACATGTCTTATATAATAATTAAGTTGAATCTGTGAAGTTTGGTAAGAATCGGAGTTCGTTTAGTATAAATCGGACCTTCATTTGAGAAAATGGAAATTTTGATGTTCTTGAGCGATTTCATGAATTTGAGGTTTAATGCTTAGTTGTTGATATTATTTTGATGATTTAATTGCACGATCAAGTCCGTATGATGTTTTTGGACTTGCGTGCATGTTTGGTTTGGAGCCCCGAGGGCTCGGGTGAGTTTTGGATAGGCCACAGAGTGAAATTGGACTTAGGAAAGATTGCTGGTATCTGGTATTTTTGCCCAGGCCTCTGATCTCGCAATTGTTAGATCCCATACTTTAATATTAATAATTGAAGAAAACCGAGATTTACATCAGAATAGATAATAATAGCACTTTTTATGGAACAACGAATGGTACATTTGATTTCTAATATTTCATTGTTAGGAAATTTTTAGAATTAAACTAATGGATATGGAATGTTCTTCAAATGTAAATTTTAGTTGATTAGAGCCAGATAACAATGATGATATTAATAATAATAAGAATAATAATCAACACTATAGACGATCAGGCTTTTTATTACTCGCTCTAGCTTACATTTGATATGTTATTTTGAGTGGAATATTTCTGTAAAATAGTTTGAAAAAAAAATGATTTTATATAGTTATTAATATTACAACATTCGAATATACTTTAAATTATACATATAATATAAGAAAGTTTATGACATTTTCTTTATTGTAAAGGTATGAATTATTTTTTCACAAGAAAAGAGGGTTATCTTTTTTACCATTTTAAGAATTAAGCGTACGAAAATTTGTACTCTTTATATGAGATTAGAAAAATGCAGATTTGATCCATTATTTTATTGACACTAAATTTTAATGTCATAGATATGCATATGATGCATCAGGATAAATTAGGAAAATTTGTATAGTTGTGATGAGTTGCAGATTCTAGATGTTTTATATACTCGTGTACATAATACCAAATGAAGTTAATTCGTCCCATTTTTTGCAAATGCAAGGCTACAGTTTTGGTGCTAATATAACTTTCTTGATTTGTAAATACTAGTGGTAATTACCTAATAGGGCTTATGGCTGTGGATTGATCCATCTCTGTTATTTATGACATTGAGTTGCGTAACACTCGACTGAGCAATTTAAGTTTTTAATCAGTCCATTGCCTTAGTATTTTCTGATTTGTGAAAGGATAACGTTCAAGAGTTGGTTGATTGGTCTGCTTTCTTATATGTTGTAGTAGTTACCTTTATATTAATTGCCTTATGAGGTGTGAATGATGCGTAATTTCCTCCTTCCCTTGTTCATGAAATATCATGTTGCCTACCATGATTTATTAATATTGTAATATTTTGATAGTAGTACTTTAGGATGAGACAAGACTATGTTCGAGGTTATAAGTATTTATGATAAGTCAAACAAGTGATAAGTAAGTGTTATAAAGGTCAAATGATACCGAATCGAAGAAACTAAGTATCGCCGAAATTTGTCAATTTGGGATAAAATATAGTCCAAACTATAATGCCTGGTGTTTATGGGCTAATAATATATCACATGACCATGATAGTAGGGTATATATAAAGTGAATAGTATATTAGGTATTTTAAAATAATTTTTAATTATGCGGATAATTGGTTAATTACCGGGTAGCGGGATATCACTTAATTAATTACCGGGTAACGGGATAGAATAATACTAAATTCCCCCACCCCATCCCCCACCTAGCATCCCTCTTTCTTTATCATTTGGTGACTCTTAGGTGTAATTGAAAGGTGGCATTTAAAAGACTAAGTTAGGCCAAGTCATACCTAAAAGTGGGGCCACTCAATTTGGCAAAAGATAAATTAATGCCTTATCACTGTTGCATCCGATATTAAAAATCTTTTACTTCTCCATTTGCAAAACAATCATCCTTACCATGAAAAGCACAAGTAGTGTTAACATTTGTTTGCTTCAATGATAAAGGAAAAGTCATTAGGAAGAAGGTAGGGATATACTCACAACTTTAGGCCCCTCTTTTTTCTTTTCCATATCCCTTTATATCAATAGCAAAGTGGCTTTTCTTTTTATATATATGTTTTGTTGTGACCAGTTGATTTGGGTTAGTATGGAGGAACACGTAGTAGGTTGGAACAACTTGTTTCTTACGTTAGATGAACATTATCCAGTGGTTTCTCATTGCAAGAACAACTAAATTGGAGGTTCATCATTCTACCCTTGTGTTTTCTACTAAATGAATTGATGAGATTCTCTTTTTGGTTTTCGGTGAGAGGGGGATTAGTTCATTTGGGATCAATAGGTGGTAGACCGCTGACCATAAAGCCAACTTTAAATGGTTGGTTTGCTAAATTTCAGTTACTGAAGAACGTAAATTACAAGGTCTCCCTACGAGGAGTACAGTGCAATCTTTCTCAAGAATATCATACAGATTCTTTCTTACTTCAATTCACCATTACGTGTTTTATCTCAATTGACGTATGTTAGAGGGATTGTTAAGAGAATCGGCTCAGGTATGTTAAGGCTATCCCTTCTTTCTTTTTTGCATGATTCATACGATACAAACGAAGCGAGAAAATGCACAACTTCCATAAATGACTCTGTTCATAGGTGTATTAGAGGTGCCTATGTTCTTGAAATCCCCTATATCATATTATTATATCATTTGTTCAAGGGTCTCATAAAAATATGTAAGTTCCAAAAGTTTATTTTATGATACTATTCAAAGGCATAATGATCTTATGACATTCCGAAAGATTTTATTAACATACTTCTCATGCATTGCATTCATTTACATGTGCATTTACCCATGACTCAGATGGCGGTATATACGCGTATATATGTATATGGGATATGGAAAAAAGGTTACGGCGTTATATACGTACCACCACCTGATCAGCTGGTATACGATAATGATGTTGCCCACAGTGGCTGAAATATGACTCAGACGACGTTATATACGTGTATATATATATATGGGAAAAGGTTACGGCGTTATATATGCACCATCACCTGATCAACTGGTATACGTTGATGATTTGCTCACAGTGGCCGAGATGATATGATGGGATGCCCTTAGAGGCTTGATGATATTATGAAACATGTACCTATGTATCATATGACATTTAAACGCATGTGCATGACATTATAAATATGATTTAAAGAGTTATTCAAACTTACAGGTTGAGTCCTTTATTCCATATTTCTTCCATGCTATTTATATATTTATTTACACGCCTTACCTACTCAATACAATATTCGTACTGATGTCTTTTTGTTGGGGATGCTGCATTCATACCTGCAGGTATAGACATTCAGTTTGACGAGCCCTCAAAGTAGACGAGGTCAACATTCAACGAAGAATCGGTAAGACTCCATCTCATTCGGAGTGCAGCCGAGTTTTATGAGGCATCGTGTCATAATTTTGCTACACACTTATGTGTAGGCTGGTACCCTGTCCCATTTGATGTCAAATAATCTTAGAGATTTTGTAGACAGAGGTTCATTTTGTGTGGTACGTCAAAGGCCTTGACGGCCATATGTATTCATGTTTTAAGAACGATGGTTCAGTAATATAATATTTTTCCACTTACAATTGTACATTACGACTTACAGAGTGGTTTGCTGGGCCACTACGGCATCGGGTTCCAGCCACGCCTCCCCAGGTTTGGGGCATGATAGAAATTGCGAGACCAGGCTTCGCAATTGCAAAGTTCTCAGGCTTGGTAATTGCGACCCAGGCGTCGTAAATGCGAACCAAGCCTGGGCAGGCCTTGATCGCAAATGCGACCCTTTATCGCAAATGCAAAAAGGGCTGAGTCGCAAATGTGACTAATTCTTCGCAAATGCAAAGATAGCAGGTTCCAAAGGGGTTCACAATTGCGAGCCCTGGTCGCAATTGCGACATCTGCAACCAGTTAATTGGGATTTTGACGGGATTTTATTCAATTTTACAACTCTTCAAACCGAAAAAACATCTTGGGCGATTTTTCAAAGACATCAACTTCTCCAAATCATTAGTAAGTTATTTTCAACTTATTTTCTTCAATCTACAACATCTTTTCACATGATTTCAATTCAAAATCAAGGGTTTTTCATGAGAAATTTGGTGATTTGGGTAGAACTTAGGATTTTCAAATTTTGGGGATTTGGACCTCGATTTGAGGTCCAATTTTAAAACAAATTATATGTTTTAGTTCGTGGGGGAATGATTAATCGGGTTTTGGTTCGAACCTCGGGTTTTGACCATGTGGACCCGTGGTCGATTTTTGACTTTTTGGGGAAATCATTAGAAAACCTATTTTCATGCATTAGAATTGATTCATTTAGCATTTATTGATATCGTTAAGTAAATTGTAGCTAGATATAAGTGAATTGGTGGTGGAATCGAGGGGTAAAGCGGTAGTTGAGGCTTGATTGTGTTCGTGGCATTGAGGTAAGTATTTGGTCTAACCTTAGCTTGAGGGATTAGGAGTTGTGTCTTATTTGCTATGTGTTAATTGTTGAGTACGACGTATAGGTGTGGTGACGAGTATCTATACGTCGATGTCAAGCATGCCCGTGAGTCTTATACTATGATTGATGTGACTCCGTTTTGTATTGTCCATGCTTTATATGATGATCTCTCATGTTGAACAAGGCTTGTGGAAGTATTATTGGTAATTGAACATTGTATAGCGTTGGCTCAAATTTAGAATTGAGTTCTGAAGTAATTGTGGAAAAGAGAAGAAGTTTATGATATTGTCTCCCTTGGCGGGATGTTAATGCTTTTGATATTATTTCCCTTGTCGGGATGTTATTGCTCATGATATTGTTTCCCTTGTCGGGATATTATTGTTATACTATTGTTCCCTTGCCGGAATTCTATTGTGATTTTATTGATTCCCTTACCCGAATTACTTTGTGATTGTTGCTTGGGTAAGGATGAGTGTAAAAGCATGAAGGGTGATGCCGGGAATGATATTTATGAGTGAGTGTTAATGAAGGAAGGTGATGCCATGCCGATATTTTAAATGTAAAAGCATGAAGGGTGATGCCGTGCCATGATATGAGTGATAATGCACGAAGGATAATGTCGTGCCATGATTATTGAGGTAAAGCACGAAGGGTGATGCCATGCCGATTATATTGATTCTTATGGTGAGAACGAGAGTAAAAGCACGAAGGGTGATGCCATGCACTTGTGATTGTTTTCCTTATTCTTGCTTATAGTTGAATTTTAGTGCTCCATATGCTTCTTTACTGAATTTCTGTTTGTACATGATATTCCCCCGAGCATGTTTCCCCTTCCCATCTTTAACTGCTAGTTTATGTCATTATTACTTGCTATATACGATATAACTGCACAAATTTATTTGGTAGTCTTAACCTAGCCTCGTCACTACTTCGTCGAGGTTAGGCTCGACACTTACCAGCACATGGGGTCGGTTGTGATGATACTACACTCTGCATTGTGTGCAGATCCTGGTGCTGGGGGTTTTGGACCACAGTGAGGTTGCTGTCTTCAGTCCATCAGGAGACCCGAGGTAGTCCTGCAGGCGTCCACAGACCTTGGCGTCCCTTTCTATCTTTTCATACTATTTTTATGTATTTCAGAGACAGATCTTTATTATTTTCCTTCAGACCATTGTTTGTAGTATTCGTAGATAGTCCCTAACATTGTGACACCAAACTCTGGGTAGAGTTGTATGTTGGATTCTGTACCAGTATATGGTTAAACTATTAGTTTTCGTCTTCCGCATTTCTGTTTATTATAATTATTCCGCTATTGATCACCTATTATATTGAACTATTAAAAAGGCTAAGTAAATGTCACGACCCTAAACTCGGATCCGGCCGTGATGGCGCCTATCGTGAAACAAGGCCAGCCGACACAACACCCAATTCATTTAAATAAATATAATAATTCAATTTAAGTCATTAACATAATTAAATCCAAAAAGAATAGTGAAATAGTACAATTTGCGGAAATAAACACAGCCTAACATCGGGGTGTCACCAGTCATGAGCATCTAACGTAAGTCTAAGAGTATGAGAGAGACTACATAGTCTATTACAGAAACTAATACATGGGAAAATAAGATAAGAGGGGGAAACACTGGGCTGCGAACGCCGAGCAACTACCAAGTGATCTCTAAAACGCCTGCTGGAAGAATCAGCACTCGTAGCGGGACTCAAAGCTCCTAAATCTGCACACATGATGCAAGGAGTAACGTGAGTACGTCAACTCAGTGAGTAATAAAAGTAAAATAAGCTAAGCGATAAGAAAATACGTAAAACACATCAAGATGCTACAAAGAGGCAGTGTAAAACCAATACAGTGCAGTAAAACATTGAAAACTTATGAAAAAACCTTAGTTCAGTATAAGCTTCTTTAAATCATCTTTTAACAACTAAACGAGTGAAGGAAAAGCAGTGAGAAAAGATAAACACATAAAACCAGCCCCTCAGGCAATATACCAACAGAATCAACCCATCGGGCTATCTCACAATCACTCGTATCAGCCCCTCGAGCAGTAACATGGAACAACATCAGCCCCTCGGGCTATATCACATCACAAACTGGGTACCCGCGCTCACTACGGGTGTATAAACTCCGAGAGGGGCCCCTTACAGCCCGTGCAATATCAAGCCATCTCGTGATATAATCAATAGGCTCTAGGCCTCATATCAAGCCACCTTGTGGCATACAACTCAGGCCCTCGGCCTCATAATCATAAATCAACTCAATACCACTGCGGCGCACAGCGCGATCCCATAATAACCTCACAACACAGGACCTTAGCCTTACTTAGTCAGAAATCTCTAAAAGCCACTCGGGCACAGTAAAATATGATGCTCAGCTCAAAATATCATTAAAGATGTCAAAACAAAGTAAACATGGCTGAGTTATAAAAACAGTAGAATATAGCATGACTGAGTAGAAGTATATAGTCAAATCAGTAAGGAATAGTAGTAAAATCCCCTAAGGGCCCAAAACAGTTGGCACGAGGCCCAGATTTGGCATCCAGCCCAAAATATAATGATAACAGACAATTTTCAATCAAATAGGTAGTAAAACAATCATTCGGGACGGACTAAGTCGCAAATCCCCAACAATGCACGACCCCATGCTCGTCATCTAGCGTGTGCATCACCTCAAAGTAGCACAACGATGTGGAATTCAGGGTTTCATACACTCAGGACAACATTTACGATCATTACTCACCTCTATCCAGTCCAAACTCTAGCCCGCGATGCCCTTGCCTCTCGAATCGGCCTCCGGATGCTCCAAATCTAACCAAAATCAGTGCAAAATCATCAATATATGCTAAGGGAACAAAACCCACTCGAAAGAAATCAAATTATAACACAAATCCCGAAATTCGCCGAACCCGACCCCCGAGCCCACGTTTCGAAATTCAATAAAATTTATAGCAATCAACTCCTTATCTCCCCACGAGTTCATTCATATTAAAATTACCCAAAATCCGACCACAATTGGCCCCTCAAATCCCCAAGTCAAGGTCTCCATTACCAAGACCTAGTCCCCAATTTTTAACCCTTAATTTCCATTAATTTCAAGCCAAATCAGTGAAATAATGTCATAGGATCGATTATTATGTTCAAAAATCTTACCTCCAAGTGTTATCCCTCTTCAAAATAGCTCCCTCAAGCTTAAACCCGGATAAAAATGGCGAGGAACAACTCAAAAATCGCGAAGGAGAGTTTATATACTTTCTGGCCCAGCTTTTCGCACCTACGTCCCAACCCTTCTTCTGCGCTACCGCTTCTACGGTCAATCGCACCGCATATGCGGTTCTCACTTAAAACTTAGACTCCGCACCTGCGATTGGGCGCTTGCACCTGCGATACCGCAGGTGCACAAAAAATGCCGCTTCTGTGGTTCCAGCCCCATGGCCCTTTGCTGCATCTGCGACCCATTGGGCGTTTCTGCGAGCCCGCACCTGCGGTCCCCTAGCCGCAGGTGCGGTTATAATAGCAGACTTAGCTTCAACTGCTACATCCAATTTCCAAACTTTCCGCCAACCATCCAAAATCACCCCGAGGCCCCCAAGCCCTCAACCAAAAGCACAACCAAGTCATATACCACTATCCAAACTTCTACCAATCTTCAAAACACCTCCAACAACATCGAATCAACCAAAACACCTCGGATTCAAGCCTAAGGTTCCAAAATCTTCTGAATTCCGCTTTTGATCAAAAAGTCTATCAAACCACCCCCGAATGACTTGAAATTTTACACACATATTTAAAATGACACAACGGACCTACTGCAACTCCCGGAATTCCATTCCGACTCCTATATCAAAATCTCACCTATCAACCGGAAAACACCAAAATTCCAAATTCGCCAATTCAAGCCTAAATCTACTCCGCTCCTCCAAAACACAGTCCTGTTGATACTCTATTTTTCCTCAAACTATTTTTAAATTTGCATATATAGCAATTGGTATTTTTCTGTAATTTTCTATATTTTTATTAATTTATCTAGCATTTTATTCCAATGAATGATTACAAAATGGCATTGATTTTAAAAGCATCTTTTGATTTAATTTATTATTTGTGGTCCTATTTGAATCAAATTCTTTCATAATTGG